TTATATATATATATATACATATATATATATTTATATATATACATATATATACGTGTGTGTGTGTCCGGATCCGGGTCCGGGTTCGGGTCTGTGTGTGTTCGTCTGTCTGATTTTTCTACTATGCGATTCAATCATAATGCTGTAATGTGTATTCCGGAACATATACTCGGAAGGGTGTACGAAGTGCTCACTTTTATTGTTCATTTCTGCAATTTTTAGACGACACGCCAAAGTAAAGAAAGTAACACAATGCATGAAGACCAAGGCTAAGGAGAGACAGACGATACAGAGCGAGGTTTTGAAGTACTGTAAAGTTCCGTTCATACCAACGGTAGGTATCTTTGTACAGAATGTGTGCATCTCATTTGGACCTTCACCAATAAATTTTGTTGTCATTTTTCTCATCGAGAGCAACATAAACTGCAAACACTGTTGCTTGATAGTGTACCATGACGATCAGATTCTGTCAGGCGGAATGCCTTTGCATGTTTCACCGATTGGCTGCACCTCGTGATTTTAACAGGGAGATCTGCACATCAAATCAGAGCTTATAGCTGTTCTAAATTGGACTGCGCCACAACCCAACGCTTTACATAGTCTTTGCCAGCCATCCACACCTAGATATGCAAAGGTCTTGTCCGTTATCCTCGCTGACTAATGCTGAAAATCTTAACCTTTTTCTATAAAATAATATCAAACAGAGGCTCGAACACGGTCACAAGAGAGGTGCGAAGGAGGTACTGAGGTATTAGTTTCTTTTCGAAGTACTAGGGACCGATCAACACGTCGCGAGCCGTGTCGAAATTCAATATCGATGTTAGTTCTTGCTATGCCTCTGATTAAAGACAACATTCCGTAAGTGCATCCTCACATAAGGACTTCAGGCTTTACAATATTTTTTTTATATTGAACTAGACACACTTTTCCAAGAATTTATTTTCAGCAACCCGCAAGATGCCGTCTCATTATTCGGAGACCACGGACATGTTGCTTGCAACTTGAAGAATCGCTGATTTGTCTCACGCACGGTTCCGAATCAGCATCATGAATAATCTGTCTGGCAATTAAAAGAAGATTATATCTGTCGTATTAGCTACTGAGTCAACAATTGCGATTCACACACATCCGGACGACATGTCTGATGCGGGATCGAAAGAACTATAAATTTTATAAAATATAAATATTGCATACACGGCTGTTTCTTTTGTGGGGAGTGCACATTATATATGAAATATTTCTGTTTTGTAATTTTTTTTAAAAGCCCCAAAAAATACGCTTATCAGAAACATCGGAACGATCTGATTGGCAGCCCATATCAAGTGGTCAAGGAATATTTTCGAATTGGACTTCACATGATTTTTCGATTCTCAGTGTACAGCGTAAAACGTTGGCGTCAGGGTACTAGGTAGATCCTCTCAGTGTGCTGATCACATGCTTTCAAAGGCTGCCAAGCTCGATTAGATGCATTCTTGTCACTAAATTAGCTATATGAACAATATTAAGGGAAGTGATTGATACGCCAGTTCCAAGTGCCCTATAAGGCTATATACTATGTGTACAGTTTGAAATAACCATTGTCTGGTCGCATAAATTGAAATATCAGTACTTTACACACATCATTACATTGACAGGTATCTTCAAGTCACCGACACATTTGACAAAGGTGCTCGCTTTTTCGAACACATTATTCAGGTCATCAACTACAAATCTACAACAACGCACACAGAATACAAAAATGTTGACAAAAATAAAACGCACCCATGGTTTACACCGCATTGGTGGATTCCGGAGAAATTTTCTAATCTTGATAGCGGCCATCATCACCTTAATCGTTCTTGGCGTCACCGGAGCGGTATGTGCGAGTTTGTAAATAACTGCTGATAGTTCCTTTAAAAATCATTCACTGCAGTGTTCAAAACAAGTATCGTCGAAACTGATTGCGAGTTCTAACATTAAGGCGCTTGTCGTTGATTTACATTTAATGGTGACTTGCTGAGCAGACAGAATAATCATGAACCAAAAGTAGCTGTATTGACAGTTAAGCTTTCTGAGCTGATGCAGTAAACTTCGCCAATATTTCTGTGACATACTATACAGCCTCAGAATTCTGTCACATCGCAGTCTAGAACGTTGGTTTTTTAATTTTTGTCAATGCCACATTACAGCTCTCTGGGGATGGTCGAGACCTTCACACAATAAAGTCGAACATGTCCAGGAACGCTGCCACTTTTGATTCGGCTCTTACATCTTTCAGCATCGTAAGTGCTTTGTGAAATGGTGCTGCTATTCTTTAATTGCCTCACCTTTGATACGACATTGACGTTGATATTGCCCGTAAATCATTATGCCACGACAAATATTCAAATTATCTGAGTGTTACTTAATTCTCTCGGAATAAAATACAGGCGGAGCAACCAGTCCCTACATGTGGATGGGTAGATGTATCAAAACACCTACCTACATGGGCTGAAAGTGACAGTATGATGGTGCAAGAATCAGTTAGACTCTTTGAGGCATTGAACAACGCTGGCTTTGTAAGTAATTGTTGTCTACGCCGTATTTTTCAGAATCATACATTTTATATAGCTGCTGTACTGAAAATAGCCAAAAATACTAATAGTACTTGAAATCGCTCGAATTCATTGATATTTTTACTAAGTATTAATGAATTCGAGGCATGTTGTTTTTTCACCTGGCAATACGTGTGGTCAAGACTTTCAAACCGTACGTATGCGAAATTGGTGGTCGAATGACACATTCGCTAGCCTCAAATTATTATTTTTGCTTCAATATACAGGCGTATTATCTGGCAGCCGGATCTGCTTTAGGATCCGTCAGACATGGAGGTTTTATACCGGGGGATGGTGACATAGTAAGTCACTAGTGCATATTGAGTGAGTTTCCAAAGTTATAGTAGCCTAAAAAGCAGAATACAAGCTCAACACATTCCTCGATGGAACGCGATCGCGTCAAAACAAGAATATGATGTTGATACTCGCGAGGCACTACCCGGAAATGTCACCAATATAAGGCAATATAGTGCACAACAGGCAATATCAAGAGATATCATCAACTCGCAATTTTTTGGTACAATGCAGGATTTGAGATTTCCAGCTCAGCTCAATTATAAGACTTTCGCTGATCTAACAACGGCGACTTACCCGACTCTCACGACATGTGGAGATACTGCTCCATATACCCCACCGCACGGCACTTTGGAAGACCAAGGTATATCTTTGTTCTCATCTATGTTGAAGGGTGTGTATATGTTACACAATTGTGCGTTTCCGGGAGCAATACTACGAAGAACAAGATATATACATCGTTGTGTGTACGTGCACGGATAAGACTTGGAACAAATCTTTTATTGCTGCTATTCTGCAACGAGGCACAGTAGGCACAGTGCAGTCGGCGTCAATTTTCTTGTCGTGGTATCTCCCTTTTCATACACGATAACATATTTCCACAGTGCTATGTGGAATGAGTCGTGATACGTGGAGGAGAAGCCTCTTGCTACCGTCCGTGCTGGCTGTCTTATCCCCGTATGTCAATCTCGGCAATATTGCATTTTTTTTTTTCCACTGTTGTTACGAGCTCCAAATACTTGGAAGGGTTTATGCTGCTGAGATACTGCATTCGTGCGCTTATATAAAACGTGATTTTAAGGTAGATCATTTCTAATTATTTATTCAATTGGTTCACTTCGTATCTCGCCGACAGATTGGGATACACACAAGTACATGGAAAGCAAGCGAAGCACATCCGTTTGTCAAAGTGCTGGGATGTGACCACAACGAGTGGTCGCGTTGTACGAGGATGTTTAGACGTCGATATCAGGTGTGTTTTTAAGTACAGTATGTCTTACTGTAACGCACATGCTTTCGTTTATATGCATGTACAGCAAAATTAGTGATCAAAATAAAAAAAGAGTAGCGCCATGCACCATTAGAAGGGACTTTAAGTAAACGAATAGAGATTCACAGAGATGAAAGCAACTAAGCTCAAATATACAATCACATATATACACAGTCCCACAATGAGCTCAAGTAGAGGTCGACCGGGCAAGATCTGCAAATGCCCTTGGCACTCGGTCACTGCTCTTTGCAATACCGATACTCCCGAAGAATTGGCCCGGGAGTTTTCAGGATCCTACATGACACCAAATAGAAACCTACAGGTTCGTATTCATGTTTTGGTGCGAGGGTGAGTATCTATCTAGTGCTGGATTCTGGGGTTCTATATCTTATTCTGGGTGTGGAAGTCTATAGTGTTCGTGTTGCACCCCACAATACATGCATATGTGTGACAAGCTGAACAGAGCCGAGTGTCGGATTGATGATTCGCGTGTGATTGCTCACTTATGACGCAGAGTTTCCAATACTTATCGAGTCTTCATAGCATAGCTTTGTCAAAACACGCACAAAATTGAAACTGAATGACTTCAGACTCGGTTGATTACGCACACATTTGCTATTACCTTGTTGCTTCACCATTACTCACAAGTATCAATATCATCAGCATAAAATTCCCCTTTATTTTGATGCGTCTACTTGTTTGCCTGCGCTTTAATAATAATATCAATGTTATTGCAATTACAGGATAAGGACCTCTGGTATTCTAGTGAGAATGGTATTGCGCTGTTAGCACCAGGCAACAAACGCTTGAATTGGCCCACAATGCTCTAAAAAGCTAAGAACGGACGACAATTGGCAAAAAAACTCTTGATTTGGCCTTCAACGCTGTAAAAAGTTGAGGAAAGACGACCATATACTAGCATCGGAAATATCGAGACGCAACTCAATAAACCATTTGTAATGGCAATTTGATTGAACTTTGGGTCTTCTATCAAGTCTTAATACCTATACTTGTTAGTAGAAATGAAACGCAGTGAAAGGAGCGAGCTTTTCCTCAAAAGTTCAAAACCGTCGTTGTGCTCTCTAACATCCGGCTGTCGTCGGATAAGGCACCAGAAAGGTTCGTTTGTAATGCCACAGCCAGCGGAGGATGGTTGTTGTCTGCCGGTAATGAAAGCAATTGGATAATGGCTTGTGCGTTGATGCTGCTAACAAATGATGGTGCTGCTCGCCTTCTTTTCCATCGTATTCTTCGAAATCGAATATCTACCGATGAATGTTTTACATCCACTCTACGTTAAAAAGAGAATTGAATTCCTGATGCTCGGAACTGGCCACATACCTATATACATAATTCTCCCCCCCCACACCTTTGCTTAAGTCCGAATGCGATTATGATCCCCTCTCCATGGATGCCAGGATGCGACCAGTTGAAATTATAGGTTCAAATACCCATCCAACGACGCTGACGAGTAATGTGTGATTGCAAGTAATAAATTGAGTGAGCGTGCACTACGTTCAATTCTAAATTTTCACCAGTGTAAAGGTGCGGGTGAAAAACTCAAGATCAGATTGAGGCACAGGCACGATATGCAGCTCGCGGGATACAAACGGAATACTTCAGTAAGCAGCATTCGGAGTATGTGTATATTTATAGCCTACACGAGCCTTGTACACAGCTTTATTTACTGATACAAGTTTGGCTACTGAAAAACAAATTAACGGCGAGAGTTTTAGATCTACGTCAAATCCATATGCCAGCATAGATTGATTTTGTATCATTGATATAGGAAAGACAAATGGGCCAAAAACCGCTTTCCTAGAGCATGACTACTCGTATTGCTTTGTACGTCTCCGCAGCCAAGAAAAGAAGGGAACAAATACCACCGCATTTCCTGTTTCTATACCTACATAAAGTACATGTTTCGAACAAGCTCATCCTATATATTTAATTCATAACTCCCCGCTATGTACGAGTATAAGGAGTTGGCAGCTAAGCACTATTCGCAGTAGACACCGATGGAAAGTCTAAATTTAAATCTCGTCGTGAACAGCCGCGGCAGCAACGGCGAACTTGTCCTTGTACTCGGCCATGGACTTTTCAATTAGGCTGGCGGAAGAGTAGAAGTATCCATATTTGGGGTTACCGCCGATCGCCTTCATTTCAGGGTTGACTTTTCCTACACGTGTATATTACGTAGAGTTGTATATATAGCGCTTTATTCACTGACAAATCCATGGAAATATATTAGATCGATAGAAAAGTAGGCTTAATTTTATTGCGGTGGTCGAACAAAACAGTATGATTGGATCTGTGGCAGACATAGTTGAATTTCGCAAAAATGACACACATGAACAGTGAAGTTACATTTCCACACATTCCCAAGACTTTTCATACACAGAGAAATACATATGAATATATATACATTTATACATACACACACACACACACACACATATATATATATATGTTTAAATACAAATATATAAATAGAAGTACATATAAATGTAAACACACACCCACATATACATACATACACACTCACACACTCACGCACACAAACATACATAT